GTAGGTCTCTGTGTGGCATTCAGCTGTTTTAGGGGCGGCTAATGTGGGTGAGCTATGCCAAATGCAGTCTATAATAGTTGTAGTATAACCGAAAGGTGTTAATAATGATCAGTTGACATCTGCCTTTATTTTTTTATCCCTGTCTATCAAATATCACAGTAGCTGAAGTTGAGCAAAACTGTGGTCTTTCATATTTCCTCATAATGACTCCTGGCCTAAAATTCTTATAATTGAGTTGATGTTTGAAAGTTAACCATGATCAAGTATCAAATGGTTTTAGTTATATGGTTCAAAGTGGCAGTTTGCCAGTTATCAGCAGCTTTGAAAAGGCCAGCTCCAGACGGGGCTTATTCTTCTCTCAGAGGTTTTCCTACAGTCAGGGTAACTTATGCTCCTCTCTATAAATAGACTTCTGCTTAGGAATCAACCAGAAAAGCTCTTCTACTAACCTCTGATTTCAGTTTTTAAAAGGATGAGAGAACTTCCAGGGTTTGGGTAAACAAGTGTGTAAACAAGTTTACTATATGAAGTAAAAAGTTATGAGTTTACTGTTGTGGGCCATCCTGGGCCAATGTGCCACTGCTGGTCACCGTTTAGAAGTTTGTTTCTGTAATGGGGAACAGACCATGTAAGACTTTATATGTTCAGGCTACCTTGTCAGATACCAGGATGAGGCTGTGGTGACTTGGCAGCTTTCCTGTTCCTGTTAGCCAGCTGGATTACAACAGCAGTCCGTCCAAGGAAGTAATTCTTACAGCCAGATATCTAGCTTCTTTGCCAGCTCACATTTAGTTTTAAAGCAATTAACTGCAAGGAACTTGATTGCATCCAGTCAGTAATTTCCTTTGGACTCAGAGATAACAGAAACAGAACCAGAAATAGTCCTCTGATTATAAAATGCTGTACACCCAGTATTTAATGTGGGCTAAGTGCAGTTCTTCTAGCCATCATCTGTATGAATATCAGGGGACTGAGTTTAACATCTGAAAAAAAGGCTCAAAGCTACTGTGGTCCCCAAAACCGTTTCTTTATCTTATTACAGTGCACATGTTTTTACTGGAAATTACAGAGATTTTATTATGGTTGCAGCATTTATATTGTTGCGCTTAAGGTTGTGTCAGTGTTTCTATTATGATCTTGCTTTAAAATTTTACTCCAGGCTGAAACATGATATACAGGAGCAAAATATTCACCATTTCCAATAGAGAGGAAACAGGCTGTGCTGCTTTTATGAGAGTCAGTAGCACATTCTCCACTAGTTCTTCTCATTGTGTTGAATATTTTCTTCTAAATCTCAATTTGGGCGCAATGCTGTCTTCATCTAAAAATTAGTAATAATGTAAAGAAGAATGAGTACAGAAACAGTTTTTACTGTGTGAATTCCAGAAAAAAACAGTAAACATCAAATACTTAATTGCACCAAGAGGCCAAAGTAAAGGCACCCTTGTTGAAGAAGGTTAGCGGTGGAGGGGGGAGAGCTCAGGGAGGAGACTTTCCAGTGAACATAAAATACTTGGTTTACATTGCTGTATTCCTCAGGCTAGGCCTGCCAGCAAGGTGAATTTTCAGTCTAGAAGTGCATGTGGTACATTTAGATTTTCTTTCTCCAGAAGTCCACTAATGCTTCCTAAGTACTACTGTTGCTACCATGTGGGTTCAGAGCACTTGGTTCTTTTTGCCATGTTACAGGCTGCCCCACTGCTGCCTGTCTGAAACAGAACAGATGACTGCCTAAACTCTGATTCAGGCAAATGCAAAGTGCAGCATCTTCAGCTTGATAGCAGGGTCACAGGAGGGGGTAAGGTGGCAAGCTGTGAAAATATGCAGGGAAAAAGTGGAAATGAGGAACGAAAAAAATGGAATGTGTATTTCAGCACTTTGTGCGTACAGCTGTTGACAATGCACCTCCATTACTACGACTGGTGTCCAGTACAAAAAGAGATTATTTTCTTTCAAACTGTCTCCTCCCCACAAAGAAAACAAATTAATGCTGCCCTCTTCATGGCGTTCTTGTCCTGAGGGAGAAATGCACCTCTCCTCTTGCTTCTCCTCCAAAATCCAAGAAAATTCCATCCCTGCTTGCTGTTCCTGCCAGGTAAAAAGGTGGAAGGGGAGGTGCTTGGGAGAGCAAAGTCTTTCTCAGCAGACAGTGCTCATCACCAGAGTTCTGTAGTAAATCTAATATTACTCTTTAGGTTTTAGAGCATTAGGTGCCTTAACTGACTGGCCCTTTAGGCCGCTTTTGTCAGTGGAGAGACTACATCCACCAGGGAATGATTCAGATCATTACTAGAAAGGCAAATAACCTAACATCTTCAGTTTTCCTTTTGCCTAGAGTATGGACATTTTTATATGTTATCACAAAGAGAAGGGTAATTGTTGAAGGCCGGTAATTCTTCTTGCTATGCAGAAAATATACTGACAGTTATTTCCCCAGATGAGAATGTTTGCTTCTGCTTTCTAAAAAATTATTTGTGTTGAAAATATTTTAAAAATAAGAGCATATTTATGATGTAAAACTGTGAAAATAATTAAGCATTACTATCTGTATTCTTACCCACTCTGTCAACATATCTGGAGGACATAGGGTCAGCAGAAACTGATCAGGCCAGCAGGAGATTTGAAGCTAATGTGATGTTATGCTCCTAATATCCCCTTCCTAATCATGTACTTAGGAAAATGAGTTAAGCGCAAGAAAATATATATACAGAGGTATCTATGCTTTACTTATATCTGAGAAAGACTAGTTTCCTTAATTATTTATTTACAGAGGGTAAAAAACCTTTGCAATAACAGAATTGATTCATTTATCACCTAAGGAGAACAAGCAGCAGGAGTTTAACACACAATCAGATAACAGATTAGTTTACAAAGCCATTCTGCAATTAGAGATGCTTAGGTTTGAATGTGTCCTCTTCCCCCTCCTACCAGCACCTCTGGTAGATACATCCGTACTTGCAGCTTGTGGCAGTTTAATATTGTGCTTGTGATGGTTTGGTCCGGGAAGAAATAGCTTCTGCAGGTGAGTATGTTAGTTATAACGTCTAGCCATTGCTGTATTAGTACATCTCCATGAAGTAAGGCAACTATTAAAATATTTACTTCCTTTGTGGACTGATGGATGTTCCCATCTACAACAAAATTCCCCTCTGCAATTAAGTAAGAGATTGAATTCTGGTTTAAACCAGAAACAACTATTAGAAGAACAGTAGTATGTTACTCCACTTACACAGTTTCCTGCTACCTGAGGTTCTGGCTGGTCAGCAAAGAATGATGGTTTTGAGTACAGTTACTGGTTAAAAAAAAAAAAGCCTAAACAGAAATCTGAAAATGGAAAATTTAATTGAGGAAACTTTGAATAAATTCACATTATCTCCATGCTCCCCACTGGAAATAATACCCTCTGTAATAATTTTTCTTCCATTGCTTCCTCTGTGTTCCATTGCTTCTTTGCCCTTCAGTTCTTTGTATGTACAACATCAAAGAAACAACCATTACTGTTTGGGAATGCAGGATGTAAAATATAATTAGGCCTGTCAACAAAACCTGCTATGTTATCCGTATTTTATTTCCTAGCTGACAAAACAGTTTGCAGTTCAATTACAATTCAAATAAGCCATTACAGAATAGTTTTCCAGGACTCGTACCGTAGCCACAAGTAAATAAGGAGATGAACAAAAATGGACATCAGGAATGAGGATCCTTAAATGTAATGTACAATTACCAGTGAAGGGGTAGTCATAGTTGACTGTCTTCTCTTTCCTCTTTATTAGAGGCTTTCTGAGCCATAATTGTTCTTTACATGATGACATAATTGCTGTTGGATAGGAAAATGTTCTCTTTACTGAATGAAATCTGACTGGTTTGAAGTGTAGAACTGCACGAAAAGGAGAAAAAAGGAAGAATTCCAGTGCATATTTTTGAAACGGGCTTCTGTGAGTATATGAAGCTGTGGTTAGAGTAAGGGGAAAAAAAAGACCTGCTACATCTTCGTATTAACCTTCTCATTATAGATTAACGGTATTTGCTACGTGTTCCAGGAACATTCTAATGTTGCTTGACATAATATTTGTCATTGGTTCTGGATGTATGGTCATGTGATTCCTACTTTCTACATGGCAACCAATGCAGAAACAATCTGTCAGGGACTGTCACTGAGGATCTATGCTAAATGTTACCCAGCAGGATGCAGGCTGTATCTCGGTGGGTGTCCTCCTGCTATGCTTTGATTATGTTTGTTGTAAAGAAAAGCGTGGTTGTGCTTACAGCCTTCATATTTCACCCCCTCTGTGGAAGACATATTATACCCTCTTGATTTGTCCCTGTTTCTTCCTAAACAAGATATGTTGTTTAAAAACATATACACAGCATTTTCAAAGATTCTTTCAGTATAATCTGATTATAAAGGGGTTATGTGACAGTTTGTCGCTGCTGCTTATTGTGTGGCTTAAATCTCTGAGGACAAGCTAACTGAACAGCCATACCATTTAGAGTCTGATGGCAGTTGTGGTTCAAAAATGTTGTTTTGGACCAGACCTAGGGTCATCTCAGGAGACACTTTGGCATACACCAAGGTAACAGGAGGATTTTATACTACTTATTAGTTGTTCTAACCTCAATAGATGACAATAGTACGGGGGGGGGGGATTTAATTACACAGAGTGATACTTTATTAACTTATATGGATAAGGGCAGGGGAAACAGGAAGATTTTTTTTAATATACTTTTCTGCATTAGTGGGGAATATCAAGCCTAGAGGTAAATGAGCATTGTTGGATCAGGGTTGTATATTGTGAAAGAGAAAACAGGGATATTACACTAGACAACAAGCTCACATATTGATTTTATAAAAGGATATTTCAAGCAAAACTATATATTTCAGAGGGTGTGCCTGTGTTTTCTGCATGAAAAAACACCCACTGATGTCTTCTCATTGCCTCTTACTGTTTGCCTTCTTCGAGATTTTTTTAACACTAATAAGTCTATTAACAAACTTCCAGGCATGAACGAATACATACTAGAAGACCTTACCATGTGGATGGAGCTGACAAGTACTCGCTAGATGATGACCTGGTAAATCTAGAGGTTCTAGATGAGGTACTGTGCCATCTAAGCAACAGTTTCTGGCAGTTAATGCCTCACATTTTGCCTGTTTCTGCTTTTTAGGTTTCTTTTAACAGAGCAAGAATAATTTCTTCTTGCAAAGCTCATGTCTAAGCATGGAAAAGGAACTGTCACGTGACTGATCTGCTACCATCTCTTCAATAATATTCTATACAGTGACATAAAAACAGTAGCAAAAATTCCTAGTATGTGGAAGAATTTAATTATGAGTAATGTCAGTTTAAATTATTTTGTCTATTTCCTAAAATTTGAAGTTTAATCTTGAAGATTTAGATTTAAATAATTCATAGGGTGTGATGGCATCTACAACTTCTGAATAAAAACAGTGATAAAACAATAAATACCAGTTTCATATTTCAGTATATCACCTATGTGCAGAGTATCTAAATTTTTGCTCAGAGGATCCTTAAATTGCAATCCAGCAAGAAAAAGACATGATATAAAATAGTGTAAGCTTCCTGTTTAAAAGTCTCTTACTATAACTTTAAAATTAATCCTTGAAAAATTATGGTCCTTGTTTCATGAGTCAATAAAAAATTAAACTGAAATATACAATGAAGTGCAGCAGTAATCTATATGGACGTTTTCTCTTTGGGAAGCTTACTTCTCTGGCCAGTATAACAAAATATATACTAATGTGGAAATAGGGTGTAACATTTAACTTAGTTGTACAGCATTAACAAGAATTTTGAAAAGATTTGTTTTGTTTTTTATGTCCATATTTGACAAATAATTAGTAACACTTGAAACAATTACTTCTTAATGGATGTTCTGAACATACTGACAAAAAATTTCACAATCTGGAAAAATATTGCTTAACTATCAAACTTTTTTGTAATCTTCTTAGGATACAATTATCCGTCAACTGCAGAAACGCTATGCTGACTTACAAATTTATACTTATGTTGGAGACATCTTAATAGCCTTAAACCCTTTTCAGAATCTCAGCATTTATTCTCCACAGGTAAGAGAGACTCCAAGACATGGATGGTGCTTGCCTTACATTTTGTGTTAAGACCACTGGCTGAAATGCTTAAATGATGTTGGGAGCTGAGAGCAGGAACTAAAACCTAGCCTTTACTTCTTCCTCACAAGCCTGGCTACAAGTCATATTCCTTCTTCCTCCCCTCCCCGTTTGGTCTCATAGGCTCTCATTCCTTTCTGCTTGGTGGCACAAATTCCGCAGAAGGGGTGAAGACTGCCCCAGCCACAGCTGTGCCTCTTGTATGGCATCTAGGGCTTTCTTCTGGGAAACAGAAACTCGTGCTGAGTCTATTGCTTCCTGAAGAATTGCTCTGACTATTGGGTTATTATATGTCCTCTTGCCATCAGCTGCTGCTTAAAGAAGAAAGGATTGAAACAAATGCTTTATAGATAGAGGCAGTTTAATTCCCTAGGAATAAGAAGGGAGGTGGGGCCATAAATCTTAGTCTCCCGTGGGTGCCTAATTCAGTGTTGCAGGCAGAGGGACCAGATTTCAGATTCGCTGCTATCTTTGCAGTTTCCTTTTGTCTGGCTTGGGTGTTTCTCTGTTTGAACATTCTGTGTTTGAAATCCTACTCCTTGTGATACAGTTCTCCTCACAGTCTTGTGCCTGAATATTTGAGGGGTGTTTTAAGTTTCGTAATTTGTGTTCTGGAAGTCAGGCAGTGCCAAGAATTACCACTCTTCAGCCAGATGATTCAGTTGAAATTCTGTGGTAGCACAGGCAACTGTCGAAGTTATTTCCATTGTACTTTTCTCCTTCTCGGTTCTTAATTATACAAGTAAGTTGGGTATTTTGACTTTTTTTTTTTGTTTTCACTTATTTAGTTCTCCAAGCTTTATCATGGTGTGAAGCGCTCATCCAACCCCCCCCACATATTTGCCTCTGCGGATGCTGCCTACCAAAGTATGGTTACATCCAGCAAAGATCAGGTAAGAATCTGTTCACTTCTCTTAGATTTCACGTTAATCGTAATGCCACTGTGCTGTGTAGATGTGGGTAATGTTCAGTGTTGCATTGTACTTGGGGAAGTTTTTTCTCTAAGCCTTTTATTCCTATATCAGAAAGAAAAACAGGGTAAAAATCCAGTCAAGTTTGGGAATTTTGAAGAGGGTAGAGTGGCAAAAAAGAGATTACAAGGCCAAATGCTATGCTAGGTTTGCATGGCATAATTTCCTGGGTGCCCTTGAAGTGCTGGCGGTTAACGCCAGCTGCAGGTATTTGCTGTTCACCCTGATAACTAGCCTGTCCTGCCCTATGTATTGTAATCGTTTGCTCCTATGTGGAATAGTGGGGTCTCAATGCCATTGCAGATTAACAGAGTTTCAACCTCTCATCTTTTGCATAAAGATCTTATCAAGCAACGGATAATCAGTTCTTCTGACTACAAGTCACGGAAAACATGAACCATTAACTCTATGATCCCTCATTTTTGTGGTAAAATATATTAAGGATAGTTATAATATAAAGTAGTGAGGACATAAATCCAATTATATAGCAGTGGTTTTAATGCCCATGGAATATAGTGCTGTAGAAGCTGGATTTCTTTTTATCGTATTCTTAAGATTGTAATTTTACTCTCTTTCTAACATGATGTGCTATATGTATACGTGGATATTGGGGGCTAATAATTATTTTATTTGTAAAGCACTCCTGACATATTTCCCCCCACATCACACAATAATTCATAGAAAACGCTTTTTAAAATCACAAAAGCAGAATAAAATAGTACCAAAACCACAATGAGAAAACCCCAAACAAAGACAACAAATAAAATGAATGTTAAAGATGAAAAGCGAAAGGGGTTCTCCTGAGTTTGCGGAATTACATTGGTCTGAGGGATGGCTAGTACCTACGTAATGACTTATAAGGTCTCTGATGGAGGCTTTAAGCAAAACAAATACTCATGTAGAATAAATAACATGATAACTTGTTATCTGAGGAAAAGATCAGTTTTGACATCAGCCCTTCAGGCTAATTTGGTAAATTTTTAATACCCTTCACACCTGTTTCGGAATTAATTTGCATTGAGATCTTTATGCAGAGGCAGCTAATTACTTGCAGGCATTCAGGTATGCCTGTCAGCCTATACAGTTTATTATTTTGTGTTTCTGAAAGATTGCAGTAGCATTTTTATCTTTGTTAACTGGGCAATTTTATGTTGGTTCTTCAGGTAAAGATGGTCTCAGTGCTCCCTGTAGCCAGATCAAGAATGTTTTTATTCTGCTCGCTTTATCCATTCAGCTTTCCTTATATTTTCCTGTGAAAACCTGAAATTGGATTCCAGGCCTAGCATTTTTGCTAGAGCTAAAGTTAGCTTCTGGACAGTATGAGTTCTACAAGAACTCACAGGCTTTTTAAATTTAAACTGCTGTGCCTGACTTCTTTACTGACACAAAGATGATTAAATTAGGTATCACAAACTTGCAAATTCATCACTAGGTATCTGCTTCCAAGAAGAACAAAAATACCTAACAAGAAGCAAATGAAGGAACTGCAAATGTCATATTGCACATGTCATGTTACAGTCAATTCCCACACCTGCCATCAGGCACCACAAGTTGCCTGATGCCCAAGAATGTTGCACAGCAATATTCATCTTGGAGCACAGAGTACAGTGGTATCTATCGTACCCAGTAATTATTCCTTATACTTTATGGTGTTTCTTATAACTTATCTCTGCACCGATATGCGTTGCTGTTCTTGAGAAAGTTGCTCTTGGGAAGAAACTTCACAGTGAGGAATGGTAAACAGAAAAGATGAAATGGCTAAACGTATTGCAGGCTGGGGAGGGAGGAATGGATAACGTCTCTCTGGCCAAATAGGGGTGTCAGAAATATTGTCCAGAGAACTGCTACCTCTTTCAAATCTTTTGAAAAGCTCAGTTCTGTCACCTCACTTGGAAACAAATTTTCTATATATTTACTGATTAAGGGGTGTGATCTGCCTGTTGTGCAGAAAGCAGTACTTTTTATTGTTAACTCTTGTTTTTGTATGATTAAGTGTCTTAGGACCTTGTCCCTCCTTCTGCTTGAAAAAACAGAAACTTATATGTTCACTGTGTCTAAATAACTCTCAGGTGTTGCACAGAAACACGCAAATCTCTGCAGCTGCTCAGCATTAACATGTTAATTAGATGTCAGTTCATACTGTACTTTAAATAGACTAGTATTTGTACAGGTGATCTGTAGAACACCTGAAACTCAAGAAAATAAAAAATAGTGTTAGAATTCTTACTTGCTATGACCTAAAGTGTTCACAAAGCAGATATACTGCTGGCCTTCTCCTTCCATCTCCTTCATAAAGTGCAAGAGCAGAGAGGAGGATGCCAAGTCATTTGGACACTTCCAGCTAATCTGAGTCTGAAAGCAGCTTGGAGAACCTGTAAAATACCATGTGATACAGACTGCCAACTCAGGAAGAATACAGATCTCTTTTCCCAGAATCATCTTATGAACAGATGCGTACTCTTCTGAAATGCTTAGTTGCCAGCTTGCTGTGTTAACTTGAATATTAGCATCACCTACAGGATGACCTCCCTACCCAGCAGCGAGCATTACAATTGTTTTTAAAGTCAGGCTTTTGGACAGTATTTTAAGTACAGCTGTACCCTGTGTTTCATGTTAATTCATATGAAGTCATTGCAACGAGCTCAGATACGCTGTTGAATTGCATTGCATCAACTGAGCTCTGGCAGTTCTCTGAGATTCAGGTATTTGCTGCAAGCTGCATACGTGCATGGCGAAAGTTAACTTTTAGACATGGTCACTCAATTATGTGTCTTAGCCCTTAGAATTTCAGTCACTCCTTCGCACATATGCACACTGCTATCAGGCATTGCGAGACACGTTTTAGTAATCTAGGGAATAAAAGAATGATTACACTGAGCCCCTGCTGATCTTTTCTTTCAAAAGGGATTTGAGGGAATTGACCCTGGAGGTATTTTGCAGTCTTGGTACTAAGCATTAAATAACAGGTAGGAACAGTAATATCTGAAAATGTATTTATCAGCCATGTAGTGATCTGTGTGCTTACTGCTTTGTTTTGTGTGTCAGTGCATTATCATCAGCGGGGAAAGTGGTGCTGGAAAGACAGAAAGTGCCCATCTGATTGTCCAGCATTTGACCTTCTTGGGAAAGGTATTTCTAGCCAACCATGTCAAGCTATGAACCAATCCTCCCCACCCCACCCCCAAATGTTTCCACTTTATCTCATCTTTAATGCTTAAAGCTATTCCTGTGAATTGCCCCACTTGAGTCAGGGACAGAGTAATGATATATTTTAATTACTGAATCAAACATTAGAGTATGATGCTCTCCGTGTCACTCAATATTTTTCAAGGAAAAATGCTAAATCCTGAACATTCAGTGCATGTAGTTATCTACCCTGTTTATGACATACCCCGTTCTTCATTTGTACGATAAAGAATGACAGATCTTGCTACAGCTCTGATCTTAGAAACTTCTATCCACACATTTAAATAAGTTAAGCTACTAGTACAAAATGGTGGGAGAATCAAGTGTGTAAGGTTAACCTAATGTTAGTAGGATCATGATGTAGTACATATGTTAGTAGGATCATGATTTTAGCTAGCTTCTTGTTTAATTTTTGATATTTTTAGCATTTTAATTAAAATATATGAAGCCTGATAGGCAGAGCTGTTGCAGAGAAGAAAGAATCCAGATTTTCATACCTGTGAGAGATTTCCCCCTTCAGAATATGGCCCTGTTGTTGTATGAGTAGGAAGCTTAACTCCAGTTAAAAGGTGTCTAAATTCCAGTTAAAACGTGTTTAACACCACATGGACCTAGTAAGGGAGGCTATGCTTCTGATGCAGGAAGTGGATTGTGGGTAAGCAGTATATTCTTTTAATGGTCCTTCTGATCTGTATCTGTTCTGTCAAGGCCAATAACCGTGCTTTGCGTGAGAAAATTCTTCAGGTGAATCCTCTGGTTGAAGCATTTGGGAATGCCTGCACTGCCATCAATGACAACTCAAGTCGCTTTGGAAAATATCTGGAAATGATGTTTACGCCCACAGGAGCTGTAATGGGGGCAAAGATTTCTGAGTATCTACTTGAAAAATCAAGGGTCATAAAACAGGCTGTGTAGGTGTATTAATCATCTGTCCTTTCACATTTATATCATGTTGGGATTTTGTTTAATTATCCAGAGCGCTTTATTTTAAATGCTTTCAATAATGTCTTGTACTAAAGCAGTAATCCTTTGTACAGTGATATGACTACCAGAATAGTCAGTCAGTTCTTTTGGAGTGGAAGCCAGTGCTGCTCCATGCTTGGGGTGGGTGAAGAGGAGGGGAATTCCCTCTGGAAAATAAGCATCCCAGCATAGAACTGTGCGCAGCTTCCAGAATCCTAAAAAGGAGACCCGGATCTTGGATCCTTGCTGCTTGTGATTGGCTGGGGTTTTTGTGTGTCACAGATGCAACACTTGCCTTTGGGCTTTCTCCACTACTGGCCCTGAATCCTACACCATTAAAACCAGTGGGAGTTTTGTTACCTACTTCAGTGAGCTTACAATAAGGACTTCTAGTTTTACCTTTGTACACAGTACCACAAGAATAAGCGTGCTTTATAATGATCCTTTTTTTTTTTTTTCCAGGGGGGAGAAAAATTTCCATATATTTTATTATATTTATGCTGGCCTTTATCATCAGAAGAAACTTTCTGAATATAGGCTTCCTGAAAAAAAGCCTCCTAGGTAACGGTCACTCATTTGTTTTAACCGCTTGTTGTAATTAGCTATTGATCAGCTCTTGCTTTCAGTATGATGCCTTAAAATCTCTCTTAATCCTTCTCCATCCCTTAAGGATCTTTTTAAATCCTTCCAAGCAGAGAAGAGGATGGACAATAAGGAATTACATTATTTGTAATTGTTTGAGAACTTGAACTATTTAAAGAGGAGGAGGAAAAAACAAGCTTCTTGCTACGTAGATAATCTATTGTACTTTCAGATCGTGGCAATTGCTAGAAGTGCCTAATTGTGCTTTCTTACTGTAATATTTCAGTAAGAACCTAGAACATGTTTTGGGCTTGTGTTTATTTTTTTGATTGATACTTGTCCTTTGGGAGCATCTGATCTGTATTGTGGGGGCAGGGCTGGGAGTGAAATGTTGTTAACACTATGAACAAATATTAACAAAGAAGCAGCAAAAGTTAACGCAACAGAAAAAAAGACTCCCTATGAACTAGCACCAGAGTATTTAATTAAAAGATATTTGAATGTGTTTTCTTTCCACTTACTGATATAGTTGTGTTAAATTCATTGGAGGTTGTACTAGCATATCTGCTAGTATGGCACTTTATTTCTCCTACTCTATTTAGATATATTGATAATGACACTGGAAGAGTAATGCAGGATATTATTGCTAAAGATTCCTATGGAAGACAATTTGAAGCCATTCAGCATTGCTTTAGAATTATAGGATTCACTGATGAGGTAAGAGATCCAGTTACTAATCCATTATTGACCTTTCTTCTAAAAACCACCTCCACTGCTGCCTGTGCACAGATTGCTATTTGGTTTTATGAATACACATCTATGCCACAGAGTCTCTCTTATGACATAAATGATCTGTGAAAACAAAACCACACACCTGGGAGCCAGGACCAATCTGAGGTTTCAGTCTTTACTCAGGCAAGTCCATTCACAGTTCTGTAGCACACTGTTTTTCCTCTGTTAGTAGGAGCTTACTTGAATTAGTAGAACTTGGTCTCAGAACAATCTACAAGCTTTGACGCCCATTCCAACACCCACCTTTTTCCTTCACAGACTAAATTTGATCAATATATCTAACTGGATTTCTTAAAAGTGCTTTTTGTCATCTTTTACAGGAAGTGTACTCAGTGTACAGAATTCTGAGTGGGATCTTAAATACTGGAAACATTGAGTTTGCTGCCATTTCTTCACAACATCAGACAGATAAAAGTGAGGTTCCCAACCCAGAAGCCTTAGATAATGGTAAATACATTTTAATGTTGTCAGTTCTATAAATGCAATTTGACTGCGTTTGTGAGGATCTCTAACTTGTGGTGACATTAAGCAATGCTAGCAATTTCTACTGCACAATCCCAGTCATGTATCTTTTCTCCATTGTCTTTCAGCTGCTGCACTGCTAAGCATTGGGTCAGAAGAGCTTCAAGAGGCCCTAACCTCCCACTGTGTTGTAACACGAGGGGAGACTATTATCCGAACAAACACTGTGGACAAAGCAGCTGATGTGCGAGATGCCATGTCTAAAGCGCTTTATGGCCGGCTCTTCAGCTGGATCGTAAATCGTATTAATACGCTGCTGCAGCCAGATAAAAATATATGGCAAGTTACACATCACTGAATCATGTGTGTTTACTGTGCATGTATCTTTGATAGCTCATCCATTTGTATATTTTTGATTGTGCGGGCGGTGGGGGAGGCTGTGTTTATTTTGGCTAAGGCTTCAAGATGGCTTTCATGCTGTGATACTGAATTCTGTTTCCAGAACATTAACCCCAACATTTTCAAAGAATGGAATTTAGCTACTGAAGTCAATGGAAATTGGGTGCTTAAAACCCTATACAATTCATTAAAGAGATGCTTCCAATGTAATAAACATAAAATCATACCAAAGCCTGGCAAATAATTGGAGTGCACTGAAAATCTTAGTATGTTTTCACAGTCCTTCCAGGACTTCAACAATATTTAGCTCATAATAAATATAGGTCTCAGGTTATTATTGTTCTGCTACTTGAGACATTTTTGACATTTCTGAATTACAGAAACATTTTTCATAGCACCTTTTTATATTTTCGTTGCCAGGTACTGATCTGGCTGCTTTGCTCTTTTCAGGCAACTGTAGAGATTTCTAGAAATAAGAAAACCTTTTAGGCAATAGGAAAGTGGCACAGTTGGCTACAAGACTCCTCCTTCCCTGCTGGAAGACTGGAGAGGGCATAGAGGCACCATAGTAGCATATAGAACATGTAGAATAATTATTGCCAGCATAGCTTAAAGATGACAGTTCTGAGTTATACCAGAACTGTTTCATTCCTTCTTTGATAGTGCCAGTATAGCAAAAGGTGTCTTGGAATTATCGTACCTCCAACTGACATTCACTGAATACAGAAGTTGATGTTTCTGAATATAATCTGGATTCGTTTCTTTTAGGCAAAAGCCAAGGTGAGTTTAGTGGACACCGTTCCTCCTTTTGGAGCATGTCTGCATGGCACACAACGTGTTATTGTGCTCAGACAGACGAGCTATGAATGAACTTAGTCAGGTGTTGGAAGCGGAGCAGGCATGTTAGTGTAATGCTGTGCGTAGGCCCCGTGTTAATATGCCATGTTATTTCTGATCTTGGAGGTAGTGTGGAGATCTCTAGTTGACACTTCACTGCATCATGTAGCATGTCCTCATCCACGTTTGCAGTCCCGGTGGTGACTGTAGTGTAAATATACTTGAGCTAGCACATAGGCTTTCAGTAGTCTAGCTGTAGCAGCAATAGGCTTGGCAATTAATTTGCTGTCTGAATGTAGCAAAAACATACTGTAAGAGCTTGGCACCATTTGTCCACCTAGAGGAACTGACCGTGTATTTGATTTGGGATCTGCTTGCTGAAACCACTCATTTTAGCGCAATTCCAGAGAATCTGTTACTGTGTATCCATGATTCTCTTGCCTTCTTCATGGCAAAATTTGGGTAATGAAAGTGGTGGGGGGGGAGGGGGAAATGTTAATGATGCTGAAAAAATGCACAAGTTGTTACGAGTCTGCACAAGCTTTTTCTCCTGTCTTTTTGCAATGGATTGAATTGATTTTGAAATCTTACTTACCATGTGTATTTTGATTTTTTCCTTGGTGTTCCCCATGATGAATATTGTTTGTATTTTCCTTGCAGCAGTGTTGAAAATGGGATGAATGTTGGGATACTAGATATTTTTGGATTTGAGAACTTCACAAGAAATTCATTTGAACAGCTGTGCATAAATATTGCTAATGAACAGATCCAGTTTTACTTCAATCAGCATATCTTTGCACTTGAGCAGGTAAGTGTATCTCTGATGACTCTGTTTGAATCAACAGTCCTGACCTGTAGAACGTGTCCAGGAACATGTTATAAACGATAAAATGTTTATGTGATACTAATGTGAGATATGGACCACATCTTCCAGTGCAGCTGTTACAGTTTTGTAAGTAATGTGATTGGGGCAGACAGAGTATTGCTGAGTGTCATAACTGTCCTAATGATGATGTTGCTCTGACTGCTTCAGTGTTAAAACTGTGCTGGTGACTTTGTAGATGGAGTATCAGAATGAGGGAATTGATGCTACTACAGTGGAGTATGAGGACAACCGCCCACTTCTAGATATGTTCCTCCAGAAACCCGTGGGTCTCCTTTCTCTACTAGATGAAGAAAGTCGATTTCCTCAGGCAACAGACTTGACTTTAGTTGGTATGACGAAACAAAAATCCTTGGGAAGAACCAATGTATTTCGAGAAGGGGGAATGACATCTTTATTTTAGTTTTGCCAGCCAAGTTACCCCGTTGAGGTCTTGTCGTTTTGTTTGGCATATTAAGTATATTTTTCATTGTGCTGCATCATTCTTCTATGCCTTACTTGTTTTCTGTTTTTATATGGCAAAAGTTATTTTACATACCTGATGTCAAGGGTTTTATTGTTTCCTCAGCATTCTAAGGAAATAACCTGTGTGGTGCCCCTGTTTGCATGGTGCATCAAGTATTTTTAACCCCATTTACTAAAGAGAAGGCTGAGACCTTGAAAAATCTTGTGTGCAGGACCACCCGGTGAGTTAGCATCAGTTTTGAGAGTAAAATTTAGATCTCCCAGGCTCCTAGGCCCATGTTTATCCAGTTAGAAAATACCGCTTCACTCCAGATTATCTCATCAGAAATAGAAAGTGTGTATTATTTCTGGTGTGCCATCTGGTGGAACATTTCCCTTCCTTCATGCATATTTTATGTATAAAAAATCTTGGTGCCAACTTTAAAACGTGCAGCATGTACCATCCTTTAAACTATTGTCCTATTTTTATTTACTAGAGATACAGTTTTTCCCTGTGATATGCAGCAGACAGTTCCAGTTCCTTCAGTGGAATATGCAGCAGGGACTCACACTGTTAGAGAAAAAAATAGCTGCCTGTTAAATCATATGAATTATATATATATATATATATATATATACACACACACACACACACACACACACACACATATATATATATATATACACACAAGATTTTTCACTTCTGCGGGGCTGAGTTGAAACTTGAATTTAGGTCAAAGATAAAATGAATGCTATGGTTTTCGTTCCAATCCTCATTTGTGTACTAAAGCTGTGTGCCTGCCTGTGGGTCCTATAAATCAGCTAATACTGAATATTGAACTTCTACTTTCACAGGGGCACTGTCCATGCTGCAGTGTTGATCAATCTTATTACTGATGTCTTGAGAACACCAGGACTCCTCAAGATGACAGCACACTGGGAAATTTTGCCTACTCCAGATGTGCCAGATAGTCATTCATTAAAAATAAAAAATCAAAACCTAGTTCTCTTTACTTTAAATACAAGGATAATAAAGTTTGATTAAACATTAATAGAAAGAAAATCCAAAGACAAAAAACTATTGGATTCTAACAGTAGAAAAGACCCTTCTGATAATCTCATCTGACCTCCTATACAACGTGACAGAGGTTTTTTTCAACTGATTTCTGCCTCAGGCCTCCAGTTGGTTGTTCAGATAAATAAATAAAACAGCAAGTTTCACAGTATCAGCCCTAATTTCATTACAAAATCTTACAGAGCATACAAAATATCACAGGGCGTAAAAGGCCTTTTTCTTAACAAGCAGTGTTTCTTTTTCTGTCAGCTCTCTAGAGGTATGTCACAGGAAACAGAAAGCCCTTTGGATAGAAGTGTTTTTTCGGTAGAAGTCCAAAGGCAAATTAGAGATGGTCCCAACCTGAAGATGTTAACATATACTTAAAACATGATGTGCAAGGCTAAATGAATGGGGAAAGAGGATGGGGAAAATAGAAATAACAACAATCGTTTAGACAGGCCAGATATGTGCACAGCTTTGAATATACAAGGTTGAAATCTATCTACCTATACAGATAAATAAATTAAATCAGATTCATAGGAAAGTAAAAGAAGTTCCCACGCCTTTTCATTGTCTCCTATTATTTGATAATTTTCCATGCATAAAACTCTGAAAAAAGTGGGATTTGGAAGACAAGTCTTTCTGCGCTCTTTTAGAATGGACTGTTCCGTTCTGAAAGGCAGCTTGGAAGAAAGCACAGGCAGAGAAACTGGCATAGAGCTATTACCGGGCAGTTTGATAGCGTCTGAACGTCTGAGTTTGCTATTCAAGAAGCCAGAATTGCTATAAACTGTCTCTAATTAGGAGGTAGATTTTACTTAATCACTGTAATTCACTTTTGTCAATGTCAATTCTCAAATATCTAGATAAATTTGAAGATAATTTACGATGCAAATACTTTTGGAGACCAAAAGGAGTAGAATTGTCATTTGGTATTCAGCACTATGCCGGAAAGGTAAGGTCATGTGATTTTTATTTAATTCAGGCAGCATTGGTATGGTCATTATCATGGTCATTCTATTCACAGTCATTGCTTTAAGTTTTTTTCCACATTTTAATAGAAAAAATTATAAAGCTTATGGAAACCTGGAATCTGTGATAAAAGTATCTGTGCAAAGTAGTCCATTTTAGAACCGATCCTTACAGCTCTTCCAAAAATTGTGTAAAAATTAACCTCCTTTTATCCTGAAAGAAATTTGACACTAGAAACACCACTAATACCTTGTTTTTTTTAAAGGAGCAACTCACTGGAGCCAGAAGAGATTACAAAATTGTAACATAGTTGGCTGTTAACATCTCCTGAATGCCACAGTAGTTCTGTCTCTGTGTGTGCACACATGTCTGTGTAAAGGAAATCAGGTTACAGTGTAGAAATGCAATGTAAAATAGTGTCTCCAATAGTACTTAAGATCCTATGGATAGCATTGGAAAGACAGGAGCAGTTTTATGCTAGCACAGATGATTTCCCATACTCTGTAGCACCATAACGTCTTTCATTTTCAGCAGTTCACATATTATTTTATATGGGGAATTGAGGTCCAGTTGTTTCACATACCATGAGTTTTTCTTGTGATTTCAGGCCCAAATCTCTGTTTGTAAACAAAATTAAAATGAAGTAGCCATTTTATATATTTATCAATAAAGTTTCAGCTCTAGCTCATTTTAAGACTCCAGAATTTTAAGATATGTTCTAGTAAATTTAGTCCAGCTTTCTGGCTTGTTAAGAGTAACTGTAAAATTTCACACAGGTTTAGTAAATTCTTTGCTAGGTGAATGGCCAAGTCATAAAAACACTGCTGGCTGGTTCGCCATTGCGGGACCACATTCAGTTTCTGCATAAAATCAGAGACTCTGGTGGAATTAGGCAAGAGAGGAACATTGATAGTGTTAATAAAACTAGTATAAAAATTACTATGTTAAAAAAAGAAAAAAAAAGAAAAAAAGATTAAGCAAAATTAACAGATTTGTGTATGACTACAAAGAACCAGACATTAATTTCTACTAAATATGATAATAATTTAAAAAGCTGTTTTGCCTCCCGAAACTTTAGAGAATACAGAATCAAAAGTGATAAGCCCATAACAGAGAGGAAGAGGGGATCCCTAGAGGAATGTTTTGTTTTCCTGCTATCATTTTGGAAGCAGTGAGAAGTCATTTTAATGTGCCTTGTTGTGTCCTAGATATAAAACTTGCTCCTGCTTCTCCAATAGGTTTAGCTACAGATCTCATATTTGCTGCAGACAATGAATAGATGATGACTACCTGAGAGCCATTTTGTACTTATGTAAACTGTCAACTGAAGCTTTAGTGTGGTATCTCTATATTGCATCATGCACACCAAAGTTTGATGTGATGCAGCACAATACAACATGACTCAACATAAGCCATTTAAACCAATTTGATGTGCAAGTGACATGCTATTAATATAGATGCTGTTTATAATAGCAATTTAGCATTCTGAAGACACTGCTGTACAATTTGAACTTCTGTGCGGATAATTCACTGGCTTGTCAGAGGTAAACCAACGGGTCTACTCAGACGTCTTGACTGTTCATGCTTTAAAGAAAATGGTGGGTTTTGGGTAGCCCTTTCTGACATCGTATTTGATTCTGTTTCCCACGCTAGGTATTATATGATGCCTGTGCGTTCCTTAGCAGATGCACTCTGCCGGCGGACATAGGGGTGGTTTTGCGAACATCAGAGAACAAACTTCTTCAGCAGCTGTTCTCTAGCCCGTTAACCAAAACAGGTATTTTTTGCACAGCTTTGCTAATGCAGCAGCCTCTTCAGCTATCTCGTCCCTTAAAACTGTTAATTATTTCTGGGCAAAACTGCATTCTTTTTCAGCTTTACTGTTGAAAGTTTCCCAGGTATTTAAAATGTTAAGTAACGATCATATTTTAGGAAACATGGATATACATTCTTCCAGTAGATCCAGGAGGCAAGATTCCTTCCTCCACTCCAGAGAAAGGGAGGTTATCTAATATTCAAGGCCAGAGCTTGTCAGAGAGGGATGAAAATATCAGAGTTTCTTGTTCTTAGTCCTTTGTTGAGATGTATTCTCTGTTGATAGATTCTTGTGTCACGCATCTTAGAGTTCGTAAATCATATTTATCTTACTTAGATAAAGTTAGTTTAAAGGTAATACCTATCTGTTCAGATGCATCAATGCAATACGTGAAAAAGTTTTTACAAATTATAAACACAACATAACCAATCTGCTTGAATTAATTACTTCAGTTGAGTTAAAGCTTGTTGATATCGACTTACGTGAAAGTGCGTGTATCCATGGTTAAAACAGTAAGATGAAGTTTGATTACTCCATGGATAGCTGCCAGAGTACCAATAACCTGTGCAAGTGATAGTTGCACAATATATATGCCAAGAAGCCAACGTATACACACATAGAAAATGTCTGTCAATATTTCATATGTTTTCAAAGATTTTTTTTTTTTTGTAATGGATAAGAAAAAGATGTAATAAAAAGGAATAATCCAAATAGGATGGATTGTATAAGGTTGCAAAGTTTATTTTGGCCTGATATGACATTTATTTCTGTGAGTGAAGAGACTTGCAGTAATTACGTTGTGGCTACGGAGTTATTAGGGGATGAAGTTTTGCAATGAAAAGATAGCACTATTGATTTAAAATAGAAAAAATGTAACGTGATTGCTGTTTAATGTCTCCGTCTTATATTAACCAGGAAATGCATATGCTAATCTATGTTATACTGACAAAAATGTTGAAATGGGTATGAAGGATATCTTTCAAAGTGATACAGTCAGGCATTCAAACTGTTACGCGTACCTTGGGCTGAATTGTGCTTGAGTAATCCTTGCTGCTAGTGGCTTTACGAAAGAGGTCATCGTGTCTCTATCCAAAATATCCTGGATAGAAATAAGTGTCCATGCATTGGGTAGTGCTGTGTAGACTTACTTTATATGGGCTGCAGATTTGATTCTGTGCCCGTGCAGTGGCTCTGTCTAGGATTTCTGGATGCTCAGTAGCCCAGTCACAGTCTCTGGTTTTACCCTCAACCCTTCCTATGTAGAAAAAGAACATCTGGAGAAACCCAGATGTTTGAGCCATCTTTACATATGTGTAACTGATAGCAAACTATGTCTATTTATGTTCTACATAGGGTAGATTCTTGTTACACTGTCTCTGTTCTTCTCCTGTAACTAAAAGACTCTGGATTGCCTTCTTCTAAATTATGTTTTGGGAGGGTCCCTGAGAGGTGAGGAGACAATGAGGAATCTGCCTCTCGTTTCAGCTATGACAAGCTTAGATGGAGAAAGGTATAGTTTAAGCCAGAGTAGGATTGTTTTATGCTAAGTAGGAGAACAAAAAATCTTTGCATCTACTTCTGTTACTTGAGTCCTTCTTAAACTGGTAAAAGGGATTCTTTAGTCATGCTGGATGGGTCAGGCGGAGGGAAAAAGAAAGCTTGCATCTGGTCAAATGTCCAAGGCTGTCTCCACACCCGCCTCTACCAGTGATTTTATACTTTGGAGCTGTGGTGCTCTGTCCCAGTTGCCAGTCCCAGTTATCACAGAGATTATGCTTTTAATTTATTGCTGATTTTCAAATTCCTGGTGAGGAACAAGGCAACCAAACCATGTAAATTCATCTGCTTTTGAATTGTTAGAGTTATTTTTAATGGCAGCAGCAGTGAACTGAGTGTTTTGTCTGAGATGCATTAAAAATTCAGTAAGAAGATGCTTCTTGTTGCAGTATTGGTCTGTTTCCACTTTTTCCTTGGAACTTAAATTCCTGACTTGTTTCCTGTTTGTATGAATTGGGTGGGTTCTGCCTCCCATTATAAAACATTTACCCCTCCCTGAAATACCCGCAATAATATTTTCTGTCAGGTCAGTACAGGACATCCTGTTAAAAAGTGTTATGCAGATACTCCTGTGCATAATGCTGTAAGAAAGGCATAAACAAATATCTACTTTTTATTTTTTTTTAAGTCTTTATGATTTTACTCTATTTTTCCCAGCTGTCTAATATACTTGGCACCCACATCCTGTGTTGGGGCCTCTGTGTTCTAAAATCAGATTGTTGCCAGGTTTACTTTTGGCAGCTTGCAAGATAAATGAAAGATTTGGCTGAGAACAGAAGGTGTAGCTGGCAATGCTGCTTCATTTCGGCTTAGTGAAGAAAGGTTATGCTGTTCTCTTAACTTTGTAGAAAGGCACTTGTGTAAACAAAACAATAGTGATGTGTAAATGTCCCATCACACTCTGTCCTTGCCTCTTAAGAGCTTTTACCCTCACTCAACATGGGCTTCGTTCCTACTGCAAGCCAGAAAAAATGCAGATTAAGATTCATAATCTTGTTACAGTTTTCTTCACCTTTTTGTGGATTACTGATGGATGCAAAAGTTAATAATTTACATGGAAGCCATATTGCATCTCTCCAGGTAATCCTGACTCTAAATGAGCCTTCTGCCAGTATCTCTGGTGTTTTGTTTGAAGATGAGTGACAGCACATTCTCACATCTGCTTACAACTAGCTCTGGAATTCGCAGTGAACATGTCTTTTGCCAAGCAGCTCTCGCCAATGCATGTAATAGTCACTAGGTGGTGCTATCCCAGAAGCCAGAGTGAATTTGAAGCTAGTAACAGGCGTTTGACAATTACTGAAAATGCATTTCTTAAATACCAGTAAGAACAAAAAGATGCCTTTCCCACCCTGAGAAGATCCTCTGTTTGAAGTATATTTATATAAGTGTCATAACGTAGTCTTCCACTGTCAAAAACTGAGCAGCAGCAAGAAAATAAATATTAAAAAGACTAAATTCTTTTACTAATTTAAGATCAAGTTAATCCCTGTAATTTATCAAATGTACTTATCCCCTCTTAACAGATACTTCCATTTCACAGTAGCAGACCATGTAGTTTAAAGGGCCAGAAATTATCAGCAGGACATTAAATGCACATTTATTTTGATAGTTTATGGTTAAAAGAGTGCGCAATTACTGATACGAGACACCAGAACTGGAACCAAACATTCTGGGACTAGTTTTGTAAGGTGTAAAGCATTGTGTGCCTTCTTTCAGTGGAAGCTTAGGCACATTCAGCACATTTCAGAATCTGTTTGCACTTTCTAGGGACCTTTAACCTCAAAGCTGAATGAACATACTTTGGTTTAACCTACTGATTCTCCCAATTGCTTCCATACTTGTCATTTGTTCTACAGGCATAGCTTTTCATGATGAGAATTCTGTATATTCTGAATTTAAAACAGAATTTGCTCCAAATAAAAGAGAGAAATAGGGAATATTAAAACAAACAAACAAACCCAAGCTGCCACTACTGCAGTTGAATACGCATGTTCCTGTTTGTCTAATACGTTCCTGTTTGTTTCTGTAGTTTTGGTGTATCGCTGTCACAGCTAACGCATCAGAGACAAAGGGATCGTGTGATCTAGAAAATAGAGTACCCTTGAAAAAAAAAAAAAAAAAGAGGTCTTAAAAGATTTTTATAAAGGAAAGCCTTGGTACATTCACTAGTGGTATCAGTGAGGAGCTAGACTGTTTGACTCACGGTCCTGATACTCAAGAATTTTTGTAGTATCACCGTTAAATAGTGGTATGATTAGACCTCTCAGGCAAGAAACAGTGGGGCTTTTGGGAGAGTGTATCTTTTTCTTCCTCTTTTCTTCTCTGGTACCTTATGCTCCCCTGCTGACTGCACCCTGCTGGGGAAAAAGGAGGGGTGTGCTAACGGGATTTCACCTTCTGGGAAGAGCTGCAGCACAACATGCTCCTCT